CCAGTTCAACGCAGATTCGGAATAAGAACCTTCTTGCTTTCAAACCTCTCTTATTTTCGTTTTTATTCTAAGTGTTTTAGTCATCTTAATCTTTGTTGTGCGGTTCTCGCAGATAGCCGGTTCCTCTGGAAACTTAGGGTTTTCCCGAAGTTTCCTTATTTACGATTTATTTGACAGCAGGGTGAAATCGACTCCCACATTTAAGTTTCTACTTTTCATTTTCAGTTTTGTTTTGGGTTTTTAATTTTTAAAACCGCTGAGTTAGTTTGAACTAATTACCAACAAACAAACCTCAAATAATCGAACATCTAATTTAAAACTGAAAAGATGATAACAAATTTTTTTAAAAAAATTGAAATAGTTTATTTTGTAAATAAACAAAACAAAAAAATATAACATGTGTTTTCACCTTTTGGTTTTGGATTTTAGTTTTTAGATTTGGTTTTTGGTTTTGCTTTACAATTTTTTAATCAGTAAATTATTTAAGAAAAATAAAAAAATAAATTATTTAAAAGTTACAATTGAAATTTATCAAAACAAAGTGATTGTTATTTAAAATAAAAAATATATATTAACATGTTTTAAAGTACATGATTTAAATAAATGATTAATAATAGATAATTTTGTTTTGTTAAAAATATTAAATACCTTTTGGGTCTGAAAATAATAATTGATTTTTGGATCTTTTAAGGTGAAAAGTTTATTCAATGTTTTTGGAGTTTTTTTCTTAATACTAAGCCCAAAAACCAAACTATATAATTTGTTCAAAAAAATAAAAGTAAGCCCTATAATATATTCCACAAATAATCATTGGTTTAATTTAAGTATAATTATTAGGTTTCCATATTCCATATTTTGATGATATATATTATTTTAGAACATTCCATATTTGTAGGAGAAAAATATGTATTTTCGGTATACACATAGATACCTGCCGTATTTTGAAGGTAGTTTACATTAAGGTCGTCTCTTTACATTAAGGTCGTCTCTTTACATTAATTGTGTTGGTTTAATTTAAGTAACACAGTTCAATCAATTATATGACTTATATTATTTGTAACATTCTAGAAAGGGTCTAAATTTAAATGACAACTTGTATCAGTAGATAAAAAGAATGACTCTATTTTAATAGAGTAGATACTAATAAATTCCAAACAAAATTTAGAAAATTTCCAAAATCTAAAAAATAAATATATAAAATTTTTAATTTTACGTGAAGGTTTAAAAAAGAAAGTAAACAAACTCTGAAGAAAATTCAAAAGTTAAAAAGAATTTTGAAGGAAAACAAAATAATTTATTTTTTTCTTTCAGAAAAGAAACTGAATTCAATATTTAAAATATAAAAAAAAAATACTACAAAATCTAAGATTATACGGAATTTATTTACTTTTATTTGTTAGATACATAATAATATTAAAATATTCTTTAAAGTTTTAATAATTTTAAATTTTCATTTGAAACTTATTACTACTTTTATTAAAATAAATAAAATTTAGGTATTAAGATGGGCACAGTTATAAAAGTCTGTGTACTAAAATAAAATAAAAAATTAGTTAAAGTATTAAATTAGGTAGAAAAAAATTTGGATTAAAAACCTTAACAAAATTTAATTGAATTGTTTTTATGGAATTTTCCCTTTTGTTAACTCCTAACTTTTATGTGAATTTATATAAGACTGTTTGCAAGTAAAGCGTGTGTTTAGTTGTAATGAAATTTGATAAAATAATAGACTGAAAGTTAACAAGTAAGATGCAGATCCACTCTTGTACAGAGATTTATTATCTATGATGAACTTTTACAGTTCGGGTTCGAAACAGACAAAATGCAGAAGGAAAAAGACTGAAAGAAAGATCAGAGCTTTATAGCAGAGTGAATAGCGACAACGCCACCAACAAGGTTCTCGTACTCCACCTTCTCAAATCCTGCGTCTGCTATCATCGTTGCAAATTTCTCCTGCATTCCGTTTCATTTTGAATCTTAGCCAATACAAACATATGCTTTAAACTTTAAAACGTTTACTAGAACAAACATCATTCCGAACAACACATGGTGCTTCATGTATTGGTAGCTATCAAAACTGTAAAACCTATCTTCTTTACATGAATCTAGAAACTACTACCTTCATGGCATGTTACTTGTTACTGCTAATGTTTTAAAAGAAATCCACTAGCTAAAACATCATCATGTTGACTACATTTTTATCCTAAATTTCCAGCAAAAAAAAAAAAAATCGCTACAACACAGGCTAACCAAGTACAAAATTTACAAGAAAGGTAACAAAAAGTTGAACCTGAGGGGGAAACCGACGAACACTCTCAACCAAGTATTGATAAGAGTCCCGGTCACCGGCAATTAGTTCCCCTAAGTTTGGAATGACCTTGAAAGAATACAAATCGTATCTGCAACACAAGAAACAAACAGGGATTATCAGAGAAACCTACAAAAAGTCTTTGCTCCCAAAGCATGTATAGTATAAGTAGTTATCAAAAACTTACACATCTTTGAAGACCGGAATGTCTACATGGCTGAGCTCAAGGCACAAGAATCTCCCTCCCCGTTTTAGCACCCTGACAGAGAGTGAAGAGCTTTATAAGATTTATGCATAACCCACTGAAACAGGATGCTTCTACAACACACTAAAACCAAGACCAAGGCACCGATGAAGGTGTAGATATTTGTATACCTGTAAGCCTCCGAGAGAGCCTTTTCGATGTGTGTGACATTCCTTATTCCAAAAGCAATAGTGTATCCATCCATTGAGTGGTCATCGAAACTCAAGGCTTCTGCATCTCCTTCGACCCATACGAGTGACTTGTTATCTCTTAGACCTATTCAAGATAGTAAAAGAAGCTGGAGCTCACTCACACATACAAAGCAAAATGTAACGGAAACAAAAAGGTTATAAATTTGATTGATGGAGAAATAAACATCTCATGTCTCACCTCTCTCAGCAGCACGTTGTTTCCCAACGTTTAACATGTTGGGATTAATATCGCATACGTATATCTGAGTTTCTTCAAGTGATTCCTCATCAACTTTCCGCAAGGCTCTATGTTTGACACTGTTAACAGCATCAAAGATCCTAAACGCAACATCACCTGCACATTAAAATAACAACCTCTTAAAACAATTTACATGATAAGAGAATAGAACATTTTTTTACCTATGAATCTTCAAGAGTAACTAGAAAATCAATTGTATCCACTAACCTGTTCCACCGGCCACATCAAGATGCTTCATCCCTGCAAATGGACTCAGCTTCCCAACCAGTCTGAAATCACCAAAAGCGTTGATTTTTAAACACAAGAGCAAGCAAGTCATAACACTTGCGAAATAAAAGTACTACCACAGAGTCGCTAACCTTTCCTTCCAAAGCCTATGCAAGCCACCGCTCATGACATCATTCATGATATCATAACTGGAAGCAACATTGGTGAAAACGTTACCAACCAATTTGCTTTTATCTTCTTCCTTCACTTCTTGGAACCCTGAAATCAAAACATGGAAAGATAAACTCACACCGTTAAACCCAAAGAGAAATCATAATCTGAAATACAAATAAAAGCATTTCGTCTAGCATGAACCACGATCTTGAATTGAAGGCCAATTCAAGAGAGAAAGGGATGGAATTTGAGAGTGATACCGAAACTTGTGGCGTGAGAATGAAGGGAAGCAACAGAGGAAGAACGGTAACTCAAGATTCTGCTCCCAAACCTCCTGCTTATCAATCGAAGTGCCATAGCTTCTATAGATATAGTCCTCTTACTTCAAATTTTGATCCTGCAATTTAAACTACTTACCTATCAAATCTTCAAAAAAGAGGAGAAGAAAAACTCCCCAAGTTGCTCAAATTTTCAGTAAACCCATAAAAAACATATGTTAATTTGAGATTCTATCAGTCTTTTATTTACTACAGAAAACGTGAAACTGAAGAAGCTGCTTAAAAAAAACGGTTGTGAAACTGAACACAAACATAAAATGTTTCACCGACACACCTGAAAAGAAACCAAAACCCTAATCTGAAATACACCCTTCAAAATTAAGCTTGACGAAGAAGGGACGTTCTAGACTCGAGAACAAAGACGAATCAAGAGCAATACCAACGGGAATCTAGTATTAAGATAAATCAAAAATTGCGGCGACTCACAGCTCCGGGATCCAATTGCTGTGTTGAACAGTGCACGTGTGGTCCTTGCAGGACATATCGGTGTCGGTACCTGACCAAATTTTGACCGGCGAGCACGAATAGTATTGGGGTTTTTGTCATTCGCTATGTTTTGGTCTCGGCCCATATAAATAATTCGCTTAACCGGCCCATTAAAAACGATCAGCAGCGGGATTGATAGTGGAAGGATGAACCGAAAAGATGAGGGCAAGCCAAAAACTATATTCGAAAATATTCCATCATTCGAATGAAATTGGTAGAATCTATGCTGACTTGAAGAGGAAGTGGCGAGGATGCGCAACGAAGGAATGAAAACGGAAAACACTTGATTATGGCTGAAATTGATCGTCGATTTCCCAGAACTGTTTGGATTCGCGGCGGGGAAGAGGAAGAAGAAGAAGAAGTGGAAGATGAGAAGAGTGAGAGAGAGAAATACGGACCTGCGACGGAGGTTATTCTGCGGCGAGGAGACAAGTGAAGATGACGAACCCGTTACACGACAGGTTTAATGCACACCTTTTCTCTAATTTTGTTTTAGCTTTCGTCGTTTTCCATAACCCATGCGTTAAACTTAGTTAGCTTATTGAGTGACGATTAAATTATTTTAAAATAGCCATTCTAAAAAAACAAAAAACTGTACTTATGTTTTGCAACTTGTATGATTTTTAATTACTCCTACGAATCGTATTTAGCTTTTTTTAATCTAATTAAAAAGATAAATTATGGATTTTAACCATTTCATTTTGTTTTGCCAAGTGACTCTCTCTTCTCTCTCTCTCCATTTCGTTTTTCTGTTAAAACCTGAAATAGCGGGAAGTCTCACCCCAAAGTTCGGTTCTTATTTTCTCGGATCATCACATTTTTCTTTTCTTCGCATCAAACAGAATTTTTTTTTTTTTTTTGAAACTGATCAAAGAGAATTTTGAGAACGATGCAACGCAGCATTGCACCTTGTTCTTGACAAAACTCTGTAAGAAAGGTATTCCTTTGTTATAGTTCCTGGTTTTTTTTGTTATAAATTTACATAGATAAGTATAAATCCATGGGACGATGACAGCACAAACAAATTGATCTATAATCCTACCATTATGTATCAGCGTCATGCATGAAGATTATAATCGTCCAGATCGTTTGTTTAATGGTTTAATTCATGCAGATTCGATCGCCTCAAGCGTGACCAATCATTTTTTTCTTGTGAATCTGTCTGAATATCCATCTCTGATATGAATCTACTTTTGCTGCTTATTTTTTCGTTGTTTGGTTACGATTATCCTCTGTTATTGAGTTTTTATCTCAATCTTTGCAGCTCATGTAATGATCACGCTACATTTATTATGTTTTGGTTGAGTAGATATGGTTGAGAATGTTTGGTGTTTCAGAAAAATTAACATGAATCAATAGAAGCTTTCGAGAGTCTATTACAATGGTTGTTGTCACAGCCATTCTAGTACCAACTACCAAACTGCGTCTTCACGATTCAAGAGACTTCTCTTTCTTTTTTTTTCTTTTTTTTTTCAAGTACATTGCGTAGATTAGAAATATGCTGGTTACACGCACTGAGATATCAAGAAGAACCTCTTTGTCCTTTCTGGTCCCAATTCACAGACGTTATTTATCTTTGCAGGTTGGTAAGAAGCTAGGGAGAGTTTTAAGCTTTGCGAACCAGAATGACGTTTTCGATGAGAGATTTAGACCAGGCTCTCCAAGGATGTGGCCAGAAATCGTAACCTTCTCTCACTCTTTTATGTTTTCCTTTATTCTACTCCTTGCAGTATTGCTTTTAGATCATTCTGCGTAATTTATGTCTCCTGGTTGTTGCATATACAGCGGGCTTGAGATATGGCGCATAGAGGATTTCAAACCTGTCGCTGTTCCAAAAGAGTCCCATGGTAAATTTTTCACCGGGGATTCTTATATTGTCTTAAAGGTCGGTACTCTGTCGTGTATACATCTCTGCTTGATTACATATATACCTCTTGATAGTGTATAATACCTTATTTTCTAACTATCTCATGCCAGACCACAGCGTCAAGAAGTGGGTCCCTGCATCACGATATTCACTACTGGCTCGGTAAAGATTCCAGTCAGGTAACACTCTCTTCATATTCTTCTCTTTCGTATTGTTCAACGGATGACAATAAAATGTGGTGTGATGATTAAAACAGGACGAAGCTGGTTCTGTTGCTATTATGACAGTTGAGTTAGATTCAGCGTTAGGTGGGCGTGCTGTTCAGTACCGAGAAGTACAGGGTCAAGAGACCGAGAAGTTCCTTTCTTACTTCAAACCTTGCATAATACCTCAGGAAGGTGGCGTTGCTTCCGGGTTCAACCATGTAAAGCCCGAGGAGCATCAGACGCGTCTGTATATCTGCAAAGGCAAACATGTCGTCCGTGTGAAGGAGGCTAGTCATTTAACAATGTCCTCCTGTAGTTTGCTTTTCACTCAACCTGGAGATTTAACTTGCTCTCATTTACATACAGGTGCCGTTTGCTCGGTCTACTCTCAACCACGACGACGTTTTCATTCTTGATACAGAGTCTAAAATTTTCCAGTTCAGTGGTTCTAAATCAAGTATTCAAGAAAGAGCAAAAGCTCTCGAGGTTGTTCAGTACATTAAAGACACGTACCATGATGGAAAGTGCGAGATTGCAGCCGTTGGTAAGTGAACTAAACTGTTAAAAATCAACTTTATTAAGTTTTTAATGTGACTTCCTTTCTTGTAGAGGATGGGAGGATGATGGCTGATGCTGAAGCTGGAGAGTTTTGGGGTTTGTTTGGTGGGTTTGCTCCGCTTCCTAAGAAACCAGCAGCCAATGAGGACCAAACCGCTGAATCTGACGGGATCAAACTCTTCAGGTAGAACATCTTTTATCTTAGCACAAGCTGCCTTGTAACAGTCTAGTATGTTCTGACGTGAGTTATGTTTGGTCTTTCAAGTGTTGAAAAGGGAAAGACAGAACCCATAGAGGCTGACTCTTTGCAGAAAGAGCTTCTGGACACTAACAAATGTTATATTCTTGATTGCGGTCTCGAAATGTTTGTTTGGAAGGGAAGAAGTACTTCAATCGACCAAAGAAAGAGCGCAAGTCAAGCTGCAGAAGTAACTTTCTTCTTATGCATCAAACGAAAAGTCTTGTTTTGATGGGTTTTGCTATATTTCATATCATTCTTCACTTTTTCAGGAGTTTTTCCGTTCGTCTGAACGTCCAAAATCAAACCTGGTCAGTGTGATGGAAGGGTTTGAAACAGTGATGTTCCGATCTAAGTTTGACTCATGGCCGGCTACAAGTACCGTAGCTGAGCCCCAGCAAGGCAGAGGCAAAGTGGCAGGTATAGTAGACGAGCAGATGCATTGATCAAATTGCTGAAGTTTTAATCTCTCTGATTATGAGATGCTTATCTCTGTTTGTTCTTTCACTAGCTCTTTTGCAACGGCAAGGAGTTAACGTTCAAGGCCTAGTTAAGACTTCTTCTTCATCTTCTAAAGATGAACCTAAGCCATACATTGATGCCACAGGAAATCTCCAGGTAGTGATTACACCTTTGTTGATGTGTTTGAATAAGTGGACATAACCAAAACATAGTCTTTTTGATTGTTAGCTATGAAAATGGTTTTGCAGGTGTGGCGAATCAATGGCAAGGAGAAGATCCATCTCGAAGCAGCGGAGCAATCTAAGTTCTATAGTGGAGATTGTTACATATTCATGTATTCATATCCAGGAGAAGACAGAGAGGAACATCTAGTGGGTACTTGGTTTGGAAAACAAAGCATTGAGGTAAATTTCATCACATTAAAGCTTCTTTCTCTCTATATGTGCTCACTGATGATGATGATATATATATAGGAAGATAGAGCATCTGCTATTTCCATGGCAAGTAAGATGGTTGAATCCATGAAGTTCATGCCGGCTCAGGTGCTTCTTCCTCCGTCTAAGGGAAATATACATTTAGGAGATGTACTTATTAGTCTTAATCGTTGCAGGCTCGCATTTACGAGGGAAAAGAACCGATTCAGTTTTTCGTGATCATGCAAAGCTTTATCACATTTAAGGTACTCTTTTGTTAGTTTTAATGTGATCTTTTATGGCAACAATCTCTACAAAAAAAATGGTTTATCTTTGTGGCAGGGTGGTCTAAGTGATGCCTTCAAGAAGCACATAGCAGAGAACGAAGTCCCTGATACTACTTACGCTGCAGAAGGTGTTGCGCTGTTTAGGGTTCAAGGTTCCGGACCAGAGAACATGCAAGCCATACAGATAGAAGCGGTACGTGTTTTGAAAACCATAATCAAGCAGCGTTCTTGTTCATAAGTTTATGACTGGGCAACTCAATTATTATCTTGTTCTAATAGGTTTCCACAGGGCTAAACTCGTCGCATTGTTATATATTACATGGTGATTCTACTGTTTTCACTTGGTGTGGCAATCTAACTTCCTCGGATGATAAAGAACTTATGGAGAGAATGCTGGATCTCATCAAGGTAACGTTGTGCTTTGTTTCTGCATTTGGAAGCTTACCTCCTCAGATCTCTAACATGGTTAAACCTCTGGTTCTTGTTTTTTATTCTCTATAAAGCCAAATGAACACACCAAGGCACAAAAGGAAGGTTCAGAATGTGAACAGTTTTGGGAATTGTTAGGAGGCAAATCAGAATATCCGAGTCAAAAAATCAAAAAGGATGGGGAGAGTGATCCTCATCTCTTCTCTTGCGCATTCTCAAACGGTAAAAAAAAACATTTGGTCACATCTGTTCCCATGACTTTCACTTCACTTTCTTTCTCTCTAAATCCAAGCACTGATACAAATTGTCATCTGCATTCTCTGGTGGGTTTTGCTCTCCCGTGATCGTCTCGTGGATGCTTCTTATCAACCAGATAATCTAAAGGTAACGTATGGTTTTCATTACTATAAGCCATGTTCATGTCATGATCCCACATCATTTTATCCGTATATAGGCTACGGAGATCTTCAGCTTCACTCAGGATGATTTGATGACTGAAGATATCTTCATTCTTGATTGTCACACTGAGATCTTTGTCTGGGTCGGGCAACAAGTTGACCCCAAGAAGAAGCCACTAGTTTTAACCATTGGAGAGGTACTTGAGATTCATTCAACTTATATTAACGTAGCAAAACTTCACAACTGTTTCTCTTATAGATCCTTTGCCTCAACAGAAATTCCTTAAGCACGATTTCCTTCTAGAGAATCTAGCAAGCGAGACACCGATATACATTGTAACTGAAGGAAACGAGCCTCCTTTTTTTACTCGGTTCTTCACCTGGGATTCTTCTAAATCTGCAGTAAGTGACAATTTCTCTCTACACTTGCTCCAACTGGAATCTAACTCTACACTTGCTTTCAGATGCATGGAAACTCTTTCCAGAAAAAGCTCGCAGTCCTGACAAACAAAGGAAAGCCGCTTCTAGATGTAATTATTTTCACCTTATTTGGTTACATTTTCTGCAAAAAACAATCTGGACTTGTGTCTTATGTATGTTTTCTGGTTTATTTGCTGTCAGAAACCTAAAAGGAGAGTACCAGTGTACAGCAGCCGGTCCAGCGTTCCAGACAAATCACAGCCGCGGTCAAGAAGTATGACTTCTAGTCCAGACAGAGCTCGTGTGAGGGGACGGTCTCCAGCTTTCAACGCCCTTGCTGCAAACTTTGAGAAATTAGGCACAAGAAACCAATCAACTCCACCACCTATGGTCAGCCCATTGGTCCGGAAGCTTTACCCGAAATCTCTTGCACCAGACCTCACAAAGCTCGCTCCCAAATCCGCAGCTTTTGCTGCCCGCACAGCGCTTTTCGAGAAATCTACGCCCGCTCCTCAAGAAGCACCAACTAGTCCTGCTACATCTCAAGGTATGTATGCAGTAAAAACAAAACTATATAGAAAGCTGAGGATGTTGAGCTTTTGAATTTTTTTTTTTTTTTTTGATGTATGAAGCTACAAACGAAGCGGAGGCACCAAAGGTGACAGCAGAGACGACAGAGGAAGAATCAATGAGCAGCATTAATGAAGATTCAAAAGAAGAAGAAACAGAAGAAGACAGCAGCCTGGAAACATTCCCATATGAACGGCTTAAAACGGACTCAGAGGATCCTGCTCCAGAGATCGACCTCGCTAGAAGAGAGGTCAGATTCTTCAGAAACACTTAACATGTTAATATGATTCGTGTATTGGGTTTGGTGTCTGATGGAAAGAGCTTGTGTTTCCAGGCATACATGAGTGCAGCAGAGTTCAAGGAGAAATTTGAGATGACAAAGAATGAGTTCTATAAACTACCAAAGTGGAAACAAAACAAGCTTAAAATGGCTGTTCAATTGTTCTGAACATCTCTTCCCTCAAGTCTTCTTCTTCATATCTCAATCCGTAACCTGATCCTTTTCTTCGGAATTTGAACCTACTGATAGACCAGGAGATCCCTGGGTTCAACTGAGAAGTCAGATTCTCTCTATCATATTCTCATGCAATTGATGTATAAAATCCGGTTTAGTATATGGTCAATAATCTTGCTTCCTCTTCGTTTGCAGTTGAAGAAAACACTAAGAGAGGAGGACATGATACATTTATCTTCATCTTTTGATCTGCAAATAATCATCAAATATATATACATTTTTATCATACATCATTCAAATCTTGTATGATACTTAGGATTTATTTCTTTTAATTATCTGTGTGGCTGTGGATTTTTTTTCCCATGGACTTGACTTTCCTATGTTGCTTTGAATGTAAATTAAGTAATTACTAGATTTTGAACCCGCACATCCGTGCGGATAATTTTTCATTTTATAAAAATATAACAAAATCTTTCAGATATATCATTTACATTTTATTTTTATATCGTATAACTACAGAATCTTATTATTTTAATTATTTTATATAATATATTGTTGTCATTTTTAAAAAATATCAAATATATTTTTTTAGATAATGTATTTGTTGTGAATTACAAAAATATATGTCAACATTTTTTGTATAAAAATATTACATGATTTAAAAAAATTAATATGTTTTAACAGTGAATAAAAGAAAATTTTAAAATAAAATATTTTTCTTTACCAATTTAATATATTTTTATATTAATTTCACATAGCATTTTATTTTAATATAATATAGAAAATCATTAAATTATAAAATATACCAATTTTTATTTTTAATTAACATTAATATATATATATATATATATTAATCACGAAATTAAATAATATATATTTTATAAAAATATTTAACTTTCTTGGTAAGATCTTGTTAGATATTTTCTCAACAGATTTTGTTATAAATGAAATTAAAGATAACTTTATA